CTCCTGTTCGTGCTCTCTCTCAAATAAATAAAATAAAATCTTCAAAAAAAAATTAGAGAAAAAGGAAATGCAGTATAGTGAGAACATACTGAGTAGCAAATAAATTTGAGTGGTGAGGTTAACAGACATGAAGTACAAGCAGTCTCTGAACTCCAGTTCAGTTCATGGTGGGAGAAGAATCTGTAGGTGGGAGATTCTAAAGTCTGCAAGGGCTCTGGAGGAGAGAGCTGGGTAGGCTTGGTCAGAGAGTATAGGCATTCCAGAATTCTTGGGAAGCTCTAGAACATTCTAGTATATTCTGGAATTACTTCCTATGGGTAAAGCCAGAGGGCAGGGAGAAGTTCACACGATTCTGTTTGTGAGTAAGAGATTGGGTTTGTTGACTTGTCTGCTTGTGGGCTGCTCCAGACAGGACTACAGCAATCTTGTAGTCACATGTGGAGAGTTCTGCCCCTTTAAAGAGGCCGGGACTCCAGATAGTGAAGCAAACTTCCTCCAAGAGTGTGGCCAGGTCTAAATTGTACCGTGATTTCTTTCCAGAAAGCCTGAACAATATTAACTGTGGAAAATCGGTACCTTCCTCCTATCCCCCTCCACACTTGGATGTGTCCTCTTCAAGGTCGTCTTCTGTGCTGAAGCTGTGGAGAAGGTACTTTTCTTTCTTGTTCAGGAATCAGAGCTCCTTCACAGTCGAGATTGTCACTGACAATGACATGAAGCAAGATTAGTAATGTGCAGGTCTCCAATCTCTCAAGAATGCTTCAGCTCTCAGGACCAGTGGCTCCAATAATGGTGATGGGGAAGACGATGCTGGAAGGAACAGCTGGATCTATACTATCCCAAATGGTGGAGAATTAATTATCAGCCGTACTCCCTCCCCAGAGCTGTGTGAGGAAGCAGCTTATTATCAAGGGCAAGTCTGGATCTGCAGTCCTGTGCGGACCAGAATAAATGTTCTGCCCTGACTTCTCTGTTAAGCCATCTTTTTTTTTTTCCTCCAAGTTCATGTCAGACGGGTAACGTGCCGAGGTTGTAACAAGGTTGGAGGGGGGCACAGAGCGCACAACGGCGTGAACACCCAATCATCACGCTCATGAGCTATGAAAGGATCCATTAAGCCATCTTTGTCCCCTTCACTCTGCGAGGGACTAAACATTATTACTGAGACCACGTGCACCTCATAAACTGTTGAGCCGCTACCTGGGGGACCACTGAGAGGTGACAGTGACCCACAGGCATTTAAAATGTAAGCTCCTGGGGCACCTGGGTGGCTCAGTTGGTTAAGCGACTGCCTTCGGCTCAGGTCATGATCCCGGAGTCCCGGGATCGAGTCCCGCATCGGGCTCCCTGCTCAGTGGGGAGTCTGCTTCTCCCTCTGACCCTCCCCCCTCTCATGCTCTCTCTATCTCATTCTCTCTCTCAAATAAATAAATAAAATCTTAAAAAAAAATAAAATAAAATGTAAGCTCCTGGGGCGCCTGGGTGGCTCAGTCGGTTACGCGTTTGCCTTCCGCCCAGGGTCCTGGGATAGAGCCCCGCATCAGGCTCCCTGCTTGGCGGGAAGCCTGCTTCTCCCTCTCCCACTCCCCCTGCTTGTGTTCCCTCTCCTGCTGTGTATCTCTCTGTCAAATAAATAAATAAAACCTTAAAATATTAAAAAATAAAATAAAATAAAATGTAAGCTCCTTCAGGTAGAAATGTCCTTGAGAACAGCATCTTACCAGGGCTGTCTCTTACTGAAGTGGTCCTGGCAGCAGGTGGAGGGGGCTTCGGTATGCTTGGCATTTCTCTATGCATGATTTAGGTCACTAAAAAAATACAGTAAATTCCTAAGTAGGGCCCCCTGAATTCGGTCCCATAAAATGTGGGCCTGTGTTTTAATGAGGTAGGTGGAATGACCAGGGGGCAAGGAGCAATCACCCTCCCTGTATATTCATCTGATCTTACGTTATTGTGAGTGCATTATCATGGGACTTCATTATGTATCAGATAGAAATATCATTTCCACCAAGTGCAAAGGGAGCACAATTTACGTGCATTTCCAGATGTACTTGAGAAATTTGCAGGCAGTTGGGTCACGGTTCGAGCTGGGGAGGAGGTCCGGGAATAGCTCTGTCCAGATGCTCTGACCCTAGCACCACAACCCCTTCCTGTCACCCAAGCAGGGAGTCCATGGTTGGGATGGGGTTGACTCTGGTGCACACCTGCAGAGCCCCCGAGCTGGGCAGGGAGCCCTTCAGAACAGCGCCTGGGTGCCCCCTCCCCTGAGGACCTGCTAGTGAGCACGGTAAGGCTTCTGGATCTCATTAGGCCACAGCTGTCCCAGCCTGGACACCCTGAGCAAAGCGTGGGCCTGGTTTCCATCACTTGAGTGTTGATTCGTCCTGTAATCATCATCAGAGGGCACATTCCAGGTTCATGGTTTAAGGAAAAGCATACTTTTGTCTGCCACTGAGGAGCCATTTCATCCTGAGCCTTTAATGCCTGTCCTGGCTCCGCCCCGCCCTCTCCCCTATCCGCATCTGACCGCACAGCTTTGATTTCAGGGGCAGGTCAGCAGGATGCTTGGAAAGGCACACAGGCCCCTTCTCTGGATATTCCTAAGTGCTTAAAAGTGCAAATGTGGCCAGATAAATGTGTGCTGTGTTCCTGTGCTGGGGACGCCTCAGAGAGGCGCTGGGCTCTGCGTCTTTATTGGAAACACCCATAAACCGCTGGCCTCAAAGCTCTGTTGTTTTCGTGCCGGGCTTACGTGATGTCTCCTCCGGGCTGCCAAGCTCCCTCTGACCAAATTGCTGCTTGAAGTCCCGTACCAAACGTGGCTTCCCGAAGCCCCAGCCTGCTCCCACACAGCTGGCTGGTTGGCTCTCACATGCAGGGGTGAGTTCTCAACACATTAACCCACTCTCCTCTGCATCAGGTGACACCTGGGCCACCTATCATCAGGGACGGGGGAAGTGAGGGAGCTCTGCTCAGCCAGGCACCCATTCACCCACGTGAGACTTTCAAAGCCAACTGGCTAAGGTTTAGGGTGTATCCCGAGGGCAAAGGGACAGAGTTTGTCTCTGAGTGCAATGAACCTACCTTCAACATTTTCTCTCTTTCTTTCTCTCTCTCTTTCTTTTTCTTTCTTTCTTTCTTTCTTTCTTTCTTTCTTTCTTTCTTCTTTCTTTCTTTCTTTCTTTCTTTCTTTCTTTCTTTCTTTTTCTTTCTCTCTCTCTCTCTCTCTCTCTCTCTTTCTTTCTTCTTTCTCTTTCTTTCCTTTCTTCCTTCCTTCCTTCTTTCTTTCAGTAGGCTCCATGCCCAACGTGGGGCCTGAACTCATGACCCTGAGATCAAGAGTCAGATGCCCTCCATTGCTTTAAGTTATAACTAGCCCAGGCAATAACAGCCAGCTATCTGATAATCGAGGACGGACGGGATTTCTATTGGCCGGATAACCAGAAAATTAAGGCTTCTGTTTTAAATAGCTTCACAGAAGGAAAAAAAAAAATACATATTTTAGCTACAGGCAGGTTCTATTGTTTCTGAGCCCCCAGGGAGGTCGGCCTGCTGGCTGTGGGCTTGGCTGACTCACGGTGAGAGGGTGGCCCTCGAGGCTGAGCTCGGTGGCACCCAGCTGATGACTCGCGCGCAGAAAGCCAGCGCTGGCCGTGGGGGGCAGGGATGAGCAAGTCAGGGCTAGCTCCCGATGCCAGGCATCTGGGGTCGGTTAGGGATCCGTGGTGCCGGAGGATCTAAAACAGTTGCAAGCAGCAGGGCAGGCTCTGTCTGGTACTACCAACAGTGGAACGCAGGACAGACTCAATCCCACCATCCCTAGGTAAACATTTCACCGCTGGCAAGGCCTTTTCCTCAAGCAGGATCGCCACGGCTAGGGTTTAACCACCTGCCAGGGCAATGATCAATGACTTGATTGGTCACTGAGCTTTTGCCGTAGACGTCAAATTCACAGTCGTTGGGAGAGGTATCTGCCAACTTCTGATGAACAATTGAAGCCAACCTAATCTGATTTCACTCCCACCTTATATTTTGAAGCTGTAGGTTCTCGCGAGTCTTTGACAAGAATGTTAGGTCTTTATATATAGTCTCTCTCATTGTTGCGCCTGCCCGACACAAGGTTAACTTCATGGCAAAGTTGGATTTTTAGCCACAGGCATCGGGGACTTCAGAGGACCCAGCGCGGAGGGGAAGTGGGGAGACAGCCGAGGCTGACTCCAGGAGGCAGAGGGGTAAGTGAGGTCTCCTGGCTGGCAGGATACAGAGGCCAGGCGGGATGACCTGGAAAGATAATAGAACCTTCCCAGGCCTAACTTCATCCCAAGCTGCTATGCAGCAGATCCTGAAGTTTGTTCCTGGCCCAGGATGGTTCTTTAGTGTTCTTGCTGCCCAAGCCCTTCTTTGATGACACTGCCTTTTGTCCCCCGATTCCAGCCACATGGACCAAAAGAGGGTTGTCATCCTTTTCTGTGTCTCTGCCTCCCTGGCCTCAGTCCCTTGAGGGGAGGACATTGGAGACAGCCCCTCCCTGAGCCTTATTGGAACTGCAGATGGTGGGGGAGAGGTGTTCCTTGTTGGGAGGGGGAGAAGAGCCTGCAAGCTGCTGGTGGTGAGGGGAGGACATTGGAGACAGTCCCTCCCTGAGCCTTATTGGAACTGCAGATGGTGGGGGAGAGGTGTTCCTTGTTGGGAGGGGGAGAAGAGCCTGCAAGCTGCTGGTGGTCGTGTCCCCCCACCTCCTAGAGAAGAGAGGGTCCACCACCTTTTGATGAGAATGAAGCTAACATGCTGAGAGAAGCATGTGACTAAAGTGGCTGGAAGTTTCTGTGAACTTGAGTCCCTGCTCCAGTAGTTCCTGAGGCTAGGGTGCTTCCGCCATCATTTGGTTAGATGAATCAGTGTGCTCCTCATTTTGCCCAAGTTCAAGTTGTGTTCCTTGCTGTGATACGTGCTAACGGTTTCTTAGCATTCTACACGTGTTGTTACTATTATTTCTGGTGCACAATTTCTGGCACATTTTGGCAGCCAAGCCCCCATTCCGTTCAACAACTCCCAACATGCGGGGTTGGCGTGGGCAGCAATCACACTGTGCTAAGGCTTAGAAGCCAGAGAAGACTTTGCTTCTTACCATCGGTACCTGGCACTGAAAACACACTTTCAGCTCCTGTTTTATAACTGAGTCAATACTTGGTTACACTCAGTTATAAACAGTCAATATTTAGACATAAAATAGGAGCTAAAGAGTGTCATTTCACTCTCCACTTGGCGAGATATTTTGTATACACCGGGCAAGGTCAAAGGCAACACCCAGAGAGTTTAATCTGGGATGACATAACCTTCTGCGAATTTTAAGGTCTGTGGTCTTTGTGGAGGTTGGCAACATTAGCTTCCACCTCCAATGAGGCGTGAGCAAGGAGGATTTAGATCAGAAGCCAGATTTCACTATTCTTTCCAATCATCCTACAAATGTCAATTCGGTTCAACAAATAACAACAGAACATGCACCATGCTGGAATCATAAAGTTGAGTCCTGGTCTCATAGACAGACCATGAGTAGTTCTAAGACACTGATTTCATCCCA